AGGCCATCAAAATTTGCACAGAAGTGATCATTTAGAAAAGCTGTTTTATAAGGAGACAACTTTAGATAATGAATTGGTGGTTCATAAGACCCATGTATATGAACCTCACCAGAATTTTTAACATGTGTTTGTGTGAAAGTCAGTGACAGGAAAACCTCTTCACCTGATAGTTCTTTCCAAATTCCAGAACAGTGCTACATGAGGCAGGAGCCAGAAACACCTTCCAGGTGGTAGGAATGCAAATACTTGGGCCATTAACTTCTGTCTCACAAGACCTTAGTAACTGGACCAGAAAGGTACAACAGGGCCCAGTGCAGTATCCTAGCAGCTAAAGTGCTGACCTTGCATGCACCAGGATCCCATATTGGCACCAGTTCTAATCCCGGTGACCTAGCTTCCCATTCAGTTCCCTGTGTGTGGCCTGGGAAAGCACTCGAGGACCACCCAAAGCCTTTGGGCCTTGCACCCATGTCAGAGACCTGGATGAAGCTCAATTCTAGCTGTTGGGGTCACTTGGAGAGTCAATCAGCAGACAGAAGATCTTTGTCTCTTCTCTCTGTACATGTGATTTTCCAATAAAAATTATATCTTTAAAAAGGAACAGCCAGAAGCTGAACCAACCCTCCCTTATAGGGGGAGCGCATCTCAAGTGGTAGGTTGCCCCAAAGCTGCCTCATGTAAGATCCTGGATTAGGTTTGAGAAATATGCTGAGTTGCTGGGAGAAATCTAGAAGATTCATCTTCATATCAGCTTAAATTTGGCCCTTGAATCCAGTTGGGGAGTAAAACTGAATGGAAGATCTGTTTCTCCTCTGTAAATCTAACAAAAAATGAATCCTAAAAAAAAAAAAATGAACCCACATAATTTAACATTGAGAATCTTCGCAGGCATGCCAACATGAAATTTGCACAAGCATAATAGCTCCATTTGATTTGAGATGGAAAATACAACAGAATTAATGTGACCTCAATGTATAGTAAAGTCTTGAAAGAACCTAATTTGAAGCAATCTGATCCATTTCGGCTTTCTAGGACCCCATCTGATATACTTAATAAAGGCCTCCAGGGATTTAATGGTCTGAGTCATTGATACCATGTGAACAGAAACCTGAAATATTTTATAAGAATAATTCTCTGGGACTAGTTAAATTATTTTTGCTTTATAGTTTTGCATTTTTTTGGTTGTAAGAAAGGTCACTTTGATCTGTTATGAGAATCTGAGTATATTCATTTCTCCCAATCCTAGGTCATGCCTAGTAGTAAATTCGACATTTCAAAAAATACTTTTAGGTCACTGACTGAGGTGCTATTCATCTCCAAAGCAGAAAGGCCCCAACAGCCCCTTTATGACTTGAAAGTGTGATGCCCACACAAAGCAACTCAATGTGAACCACACAGCAGAGCCAACGTTGCTGAATGAGAATTACCGCAACTTTCACCAACAGAATTCAGAGTCACTTTAATAGTACAGGTAAGAATCTACTTGAAGATTCATGCTCTACAGCCCAGTGAAGGTAGCTCATTTAAAAATGTTGTCCTGTCCCCTCACCATATGGGTGCTCAAGTGTTTGATCTACGCAAGTTTCATTTCTATAAATTGGTCAGAGGTGGGGTGAGCCAAATTCCAACAGGAATCTTACCTGTAAGTAACAAAATGTCACCAAGTTAAACCCTGTTTCACACACCGCAATGATGTAAAATCACAACTGTTGAAGCTACCCATTACACAGATTGGAGACATGCATAGAAGATAATTGGGTCAATCAGAAGGACTGGTTTTAAAGTGCAGTCTTAAGATCCTTTCAGCCACTAGATCCAGTAAGGCCTGAAATACATTCAACCTTGGACTCAATTATGTGGTAATCTCTTGATGTTTAACACTAAAGTTCTACCCTCTGCCAATAAAAATCCCTGACAGTGTGACAGCTACAACTGAAAAGTAACCTGTTCCCAAGTCTCACCTGGTATCAACAGGTAAAATTAGAATAAAGCCACCTTTGGCCCAATTCTCTTCCTATGGGGTTGCTTTCAAAATTCAAGTTAAAGCTACTGAACATTATACATGCTTCCACAAGTTTACAAAATCCCAAATCAAGAGGGAAAAAAATGTATGCCTTCACTGAGAGGTAATCACTATTAGGATTCAGATTTCCTTCCAGCTTAGCTACATGAGTATTTTGAAGCTGGAATCATATCTTGTATTATTCTACAGCTATTATTCAACACTGGTTATGTGTAATTTCCTACCTAATGAAACATACTTCTAGTATGTGACTCTTTACAGCTTCATAGTGTTTAATGGGTATGTCTCCTCCTTGAAATACCTGCTCTTGCCTTGCAGTGCATCATCTCCTCTGCTCGGTCTTCTTCCTCACCTCCAATAATCTCCTTTGCAGAATATTCATGCCTCCCTACTTAGACATGTCCCTGGCATAAACCCCAAGACTGCTCCTCTGAGAGACCCAGTTAAGAATTCTCTCAGCTTCTGTAAGGTTCAAGCATACATCTGCTGTGTGGATGTCTCTAGTCCAGGCTCTTATTTTTAACTGCCATGAGTAGTCATGTTAAAAAGCTCAAATTTAGCACATTCAAAATTGGTCTGCTAGACACCCATAACCTTCTGCTCCCAAATTTCTGTATCCATCAAGAACTCATCCTTCCCCTTGCTTCACTCAAAAACCTTTAGAACTACTTCGTCTCCTGTTTGTCTCACCTCATGTGCTTTACTACCCAACTCTACCTTCAAACACAAAATTATAGTTACCATTGTCACAGCCCTGGCACTACCATAATTTAAGTCACCACTATTTCTCATTAGAAAAAATCCCAGCTTCTTTCCCCTCCTTCCTATTCATCGAATTCTCTTCAATGAAATAGCCGGTCATCTATTCCTATGCATGTCATGGCACACCATTGCCAAGATCAATCCAAGCTCACTCCAAGTGCATGGCAAATGCTTTCTATGATCTATGTAATGCTTCTTATGACCCTGACTCCCTGTACTTCACTCACATTACCACACAGGAGATCCTTATTATTCCTCAGACTTTCACATCATGCTTCCATCCTACAGCCTTAATATGGAAAGCATTGCTATTTTCTGCCCGGAACTCTGCCCCAGATATATACATGCTTCATTATCTGACCAAAAATGTCCTTGTAGTCCCAATCCCATGCTTTGATATATAACATTTGCATTGTGTCGTTTGCACCAATACCTCACGCTCTCTCGCCAACTACCACACCCACCCCTCCTTGCATTTTAATATTTTCACTGAAGCTTCTAATTAACACCACTCCATGTCCAACAGACTCACCTTTTTCATGTTATATTCCTTAATGCTATCAGACCTCTCCATTGACTTCAGGGCAAATAGTCAAACACTAGGAAAGTGAGAATATTCCATCCATTGGTTCACTTCCCGAACATCAACAGTAACCCTGGAACTCCATCCAGATTTCCAACCTGGGGTGCAGGGATCCAAGTACTCTATCTTCTACTTTCCAAGAGGCTTATGAACTTGAAACTGTGCTCATATGGATTGTCCTTTTTTTGCAAGCAGTGGCTTCACCCACCAAGTCACAATACTAGCTCCAACTTGTTTTTTGAAATGCTTTTCTGTCATCAAATTCCCCTTGTTCTATGAAGAAAGGTTTTTGCTGAATCCTCTTATTCATGCACCATTTAAAGTTTATAATTGTAATATCGTCCCACTTGTGTCAAGTCCTCTATTCTTCTGTTACCCTTCGTTTCTTACATTACCATGATGGAGTAGAATAATGTCCCTCGTTCATTCATTCCTTCATCTCCATAACTTGTGAATGTTCTTGGATTACATATATAGCTTTATAGATTTAAGGACTTTGCCTTGAGAATATTCTGAACTTCCAAGTGGGCAAAAGTTTAAAGAAAAAAAAAATTGTTTGAAAGGCAGAGTTATAGAGGAAGGGAAGAGAGAAGGGATCTTCCATCTGCTTGTTCATTCCAAGTGGCCACAATGCTTGGGGCTCAGCCAAAATAAAGCCAAGAGCTTCACCAGTGTCTTCCAAGTAGACCCTTTCTAACCAGTGAGTCCCCAGAAGCACAGAACTACTCCCTGCTGCCAAATCACCAAGATGGTATCAGAAGGATTCAATCTCCAGTTGCTGAGTGTAGCAATGGAGCAAAGGACTTTGAGCCAAACAATGTGGATGGTGTCTAGATGCTGGCAAGGTAGGTCTCCAGTCCTTTAGGCACTTCAACACTAAAGCAGCTCCAAAGTTTTAATGTACAAATGTATAGTAAATTGATGTTTAAAGCAACCAAGTTTGTGCTAACATGGCAGGAATATAAGCCCAAATGTAACTGTAAACATTACCTACACTGATTGGAGACTCCAGTGTATGCCTCCTGCCCTGGCAGCATTTGCATCCCAATTCAAGTGTTCAATACCCTTGACTCAATTCCTGATTCTGCAACAGAGGCTGCTACCATCTCTCATTTTCATTCTGTTTCTTTAACAGCCAGTTGGAATCGAGACCACACTTCCAGACATCCCCCCTTCTCCCTTGGAACTACAGTGGTCATATATCCAAGTTCTGGCCAGTGAGAACGTGAAGTGTCATGTGACCTAAGAGGGGAAACTTGGCCCTTCCTGCTAGCTGTGTTGGACAGCATGCTAGAGTTCCACATCCCATCTGTACTGCTTCATAAAGCTTTGCTGCAAGGATAAAGCACCCAGACATTTGCAGTTCCAGAGAACTACAAAGTCAGCCCTGGATCAACTACCAGCAAACACCATGTGGAAAAGGGTAAACTTTTTAAAATATACTATTACTCAGATTCTTGCCATATGCAATTAAATGCAATTCTAATTAGAAGATTTATGATAATTTTTTCCATGAAAATTTAACCCAGTCTTTCCTTCTTCTAGACGACACTTTAATATACTTGACACCAAAAACTCTTTGTACCCTGACACAGCTCTTCCACAACTCCTTGACTTTAAATAGGAAACCTCATGCTCACTTCGGCAACACAGATACTAAAATTGGAACGATACAGAGAAGATTAGCATGGCTCCTGTGCAAAACATTGAGTACATTATATATGAAGTATATTTCCCAAGTGGCCACAATGTTTGGATATACATAGTGTCAGATCTCTCCCCTATGTTTTACATGGTATTAGCCAGTACCATACTTAATCCATCAATATTCTACCAGTTTATATTCCTGAAGTCTTATACTCATCTAGGCTACCAACCACATCAAGTCAACAAGTTCAATTCAGGATCTTGTCCAACTTCATGGTTTTAATCACCTGAAAACAGTGTTACACACCACTCAATTTAGGTTAGGTTAGAACTTAGCCTAGTGGTAAAGTTTCAAATGCCCATTTGCCTCACCATTACCTGGCCTTGAGTGTCGACTCCACTCCCAATTTTCAGTTTCCTGCCAATATGTACTCTGAAGCAGCAAGTGAAGTCTGAAGTAATTGAATCCCTGCCCCATATACAGGAACTTTGATTCTCAGCTCCTGGCTTCAGCCCAGTCACTGAAGAGATTTGCAGCAAAGGAGTGAGAGACAGCAGATAGGAGTTTGTTCATTTTCAATTGTGTATTGACAATTCATTTGTTAGGACAGGAGTTTGGAACCAAAGTTAAGGCACCATTCAGGACTCTCTTACTTCATATTTGATTACCTGAGTTTTAATCCTGGCATTACTCTTCATTTCAGCTTCCTGTAATACATACCATGAAAGGCAGGTGTATGTGGCTCATGTACTTGGCTCCCTGCCACCCACTTTGAAACTTGATTTTCACCTTGTCCAGCCTTAAGTGTGGCTGGCACTTATGGAGCAATCCAGCAGGTTAGATACATTTTAAATTAAGAAAACTAAGTTTTATGAAGTTAATAAATTATTTCACAGTAAAGTTTAATTGTAATTAACAATTTAGATTTCAAGACAGGTGTATGGCATAGAATACATTACTTGCGATACCTGCATCCTAGACTGTGGTCCCTAGATCCAAGCCCCAGCTCTGCAAATTCCAGCTTCCAGAGACATGTACCCTGGGAGGCAGCAGTGATTCAAGTAGTTGACTCCCTGTACCTCACATGGAAGACCTAGTTTCAGTTCCAAGACCCTGGCTTTGGTCTGGCAGTTACAAGCATTTGGGGAGTGAATCAGCAGATTAAAGATCCATCTCTCCACCTTCAAACAAAATCAAAGTAACTGTTTTTATAAGATAGATGTAGTCATTAGCTAATTTCAAATAGTTTCTTTTGATTTAAATCATTGGCACAGAACAAGACAATTCAAGACATTATATATTCCAGACATATGGTGGCCAAGTAGCCTGGCTTGTTCCAAATCAGAATTGGAGTATTTAAACAAAGTGGTAGATTTAATAGCGTACAAGAAATTCTGAAACTCTTCCTTCATCCTGAAAATACCGTTAACAGTTATGTGGCAGAAATCTCTCAGGGACATGGTCTTAGGAATATGGAGAACCATCTTCCATCTAGCCATTTTAGAATGAATTAGGTAGTCAACTGAGTCAACTACTTGTGCCTTGAGAAGTTATAAAATTAACAAAACAAAAACTTCTGTTTTTTTGAAGTGTTGATTCCCCAAAATTCTAAGCCCTTAAACAGTTGACTCACAGCAACATGGGTCAATGTCAAACATTCTGTGAAGAAAAAAATTAGACAAAACAGGTATATGAACTACATGTTTCCGTTTAAGTGTAAAGTTCCTTCCTGGTCTTTCTGTACTTACAAGATGTAGGTGCCAGATATTTGGATTGGGGCAATGACTACAAGTGTGTGTTTATCAAGATTCAAACTGAAGGTCCAAAAATATTTATATTCAGGAATGTAAATTAGACCTCACTTTTAAAAATAAAAGTGCCACCAGTAATTGTTCTGAAAGAAGTTCCCTAAGAAATAAATATCTATTGCATGACCTCACAGCCATCAAGATGCAATGTACCCTGTTTGTATCTTAGTGGAGGCTGCAGTCCACAGGATGTACCAAATTAAACTGCTCAAGGCAAAAACTTCCCATACATCTGTTAGGCATTAAAGTTTCAAAAACCTTAACTTCAGTGTAAGAAAAGCTGTGTCACTAGTCATTTAAAAACAGTCACCAACTTAAAGCAACCACTTTCAGTGAACACTTCAGATTAAACTAGCTGTAAATTGTGTTCCAGGTCCAATTAAGTATTGAATTATTGCTGCCCAAAGTGTATTTAGTTTGTATATTTGGGTTTGAAATTCCTTATAGCAGTGATTAAGCAGAAAAGTTAGTTGTTTATCTTCAAATACTCAGCAAGGAAACACTCAACATATAGACAACTTGCCTTTTTGGCCTCTGAGACATTAAACTCACCCAGACGCTTATCAAGACAGCAATACCTACACTTAGAAAGGTAGATCTGTTAGGTTCGACTCAATTTCAGATAGAAGACTTCAATCAAAAACTAAAGGACTAAAAATGAAACAGGACTGAATGGAAGGCATCTTTGATTCAATTGTAATGAAGGCCTCAATTGCTCTTAGAGGGAACTTGAAAAGCAACACAGCCTGAAAGAGTAGCAAGACCTTTCTATCTCTACAACAGACTAGTCACTGCATGCCAACTGCCTTAGGAAAGTATGAACATAGGCAAGCTAGTTCTTTGACTAGGAGTAACCTTCACAGAAATCGGCCATCAGCTTCTAATACATCCAACCACAAGCAGCCTGGTTGTCTCGGCCAGAAGGGGCAGCTGGACAATGCATCAGAGTCCACACTGGCAGCTGATGCACATTCCTATACCACAGAACTGAAAAGGAGCTACCTGACCTGCAATAAATATTCCTTGGCCCGGCACAATTAGTGGCTATAATCTTTGCTTTCCAAGTACCAGGATCCCATCAGGCACCACTTCGTGTCCTGGCTACTCCACTTCCCATCCAGCACCCTGCTTGTGGCCTGGGGAGGCAGTAGACAATGGCCCAAAGCCTTGGGACCCTGAACCCACATGGGAGACCCGGAAGAAGCTCCTGGCCTCAGACAAGCTCAGCCCCAGCCCTTGCAGACATTTGGGGAGTGAACCAGTAGACTGAAAGTTCTCTAAATCTACCTTTCCACTAAATATAGGAATATTTTTCTCTTTTAAAAGTATTCACAGCAAACTCCTATGCTGTTAGTGTTATGGTCTCCAGCAGTTCAGGGAGTAAGTGTGGAAGCCATAACTCCTCCACCTTTGTAATCCTTTCTGCCCAATCCATCAGTCAAATCACTGTCACCTAGCATCACCTGGAACCTGAGGGGAAAGCAGCACTGCATTGTTATGTCACTCTTCTCCACAAGACCCATGATGAGGGGATCAGTTTCTTGGTCCCATGAGCCTGTCACTTTCACACTTTGACCCTAGTCCTTCCAAGGACCCGCTTGCTCTCCCTGCTTGTCAGACTTTGAGGACAGAGGCAGCTCCTGAGCATGGCCCACGTATCTGTTTCCTTCACCCTCTGTTCACTGCTTGGGCGAGTCAGTGAAGACGCAAATGCTAAGGCGTTTTGTATTTCTAATTTGCCTACTTTCACAAGTTTCAGGAAGAGTGAGGCCTAGCAATAATCAAATGTGGGAGAGAAACCAGGAAAAGGTGTTGTGTGTCTGGAAGCTAGAACATAGGTATTCAGTTTAATGGACTGATTTCACAGAAATGGCCGTTTCTTCCTCTCATGATTTTGACTGGATTGCCACTGACTTTGTTAACTTCTGTCAGATGAATAGTTGCCTAGTAGATATTAATTAGGAAGATGGTATTCCCAACATGCTAGTGGTTACTGGATGAGTGCTGGCATTGCCAATCCTAATAAAAACTCCTTGATACTTCCTAGACTTATCTAGCATGTCATCTCACACCCTGCAATAATGAGTAGACAAGCTCTACTGACTAGCCATGAGTAGCCAGGTGTCTAGGTTGGGTTCACCTTGCATCTTCCCTAAGTGTTCATAAAACTGCACCAAAAAGTCTCAGTGTCAGACGACAGAACAAGAAATTTGTTGTCTGATTGTGGCATGCCTAGAAGCTTAGATTATCCATCCTTTTGAAGAATAGCTAACAACAGGCTTTAAGGAACAAATTAAGTCATTTTCCAACACTGGTGTTTTTCATCGCATTTCCCTTTAATTAAAGTATGATCCCCCAATTACTCAGTTCTAGGTTTCTCCAATTTGTTTAATGTCTGCTAATATTTTAATGAATATGCATGTTCTGAAGACTTTCCATTGAGGAAGAGAAGGTTTGGTGTTCAAAGATGACAAAATTCACCATGTAATAAAGACACATATGCTACATAAGTGATTGTAAACCACTCCCTCATTGAGCAAATGTATGTAAGCACCAATCCTGTTCATCTGAGTAGGAAAGTTCACTTGTATGTTCTTGACATACTGTGTGATCAATTTTTCAGTAGAAGGCAGCAGAGGTTGGTACTGTTTTGTCTCCATTATGACACGAAGGGCCACAGCAAGCTTAGTACTAACAGTGAGAATATGAGACGAGCTTGATGGAAAATCTTTACCTTTCCTTCTCTGTAAAATCTGCCTGTCAAACAAGACTGAGAATATCAATGACTGAACTAACTAGGCACTTAAATTGTGCTTTACAAATACAAAAAAATTTGTTCAACTTTCAAATCAGTATTCCAAGGTAGGTATTATTGGTAGTTAGTGTTTTAGGAGAAGAAACTTAAATACAGAGATTAAGTAACTTAATGAAGCTCATGTACAGTAAGTGGCAGGTATGCCTGAGCTCTCTACAAGGAGTAGGACTTTACCTGACAGACAAGCATTCAGAGGGTGAACACATCCCAAACACTAAAACCCAAGTTCAAATAGCATGCAGAAGTGGCCAGAAACATTCAGGTTCAACCCATCCAATATGGATGTAGGCTCCACATGTCGAGAAAAGCCAGAATACCGACCTGAGAAGTTAGACAAAAAGACAGGCAGGTAGAAAGAACTGTGTGTCTCACAAGAGACAGAACTTGAGACATAGCTATGTTGTCAGTTTTGTTACTTAATAGTATCAGAAGAAGTGTATCAAGGCCAGAGTCCTGGCTGCTTACAATCAAATTTCCTGTTCCTGTACAACACAGTAGACAGATGATGGATCAAGCAGTCAGGACCCTGCCATCAACATGGGATGCTCAGACTGCATTCCTAGCTCCTAGCTTTTATATAACCAGACCTGGTTTGTGGATTTTGGGGAGTCAGTGATACTGAGACTGTCTCTTTACAGTTCTAATAGAATTGGAAGTGACTAGTACTTAAGATTATCCCCAAAGAAAGATAAAGTATTTGATACATGGTCTCATTTTAGCTTCAGACACTCTTGTAATGAAGGTACCACAGCTATACCATTGTAAAATGGAGAACTCTGAGCTTTTAAGATTCATTCATTTTTGGTTGAAAGGGAGATTCACAGAGGAGATTGGAGTAAAGTACAAGTCATCTTTCATCTGCCGTTCACTCCTTAACTGGCAACAGCCACCAGAGCTGAGCTGATCCGAAGCCAGGAGTTTCCTCCAGGTCTCCCATGTGGGTACAGGAGCACAAGCACTTGGCTCATCTTCCAATTTACCAAGCCAGAAGCAGGAAGCTGTATCAAGCGGAGCAGTTGGGGCATGCACTAGAACCCATGTGATTCAGGCACTGCAGGCAGAGGATCAGCGTACTGTATCACCATGCTGGCCCTGAGAACTCTTGAGCTTTGACAAGACAAAGCAGATTGTTCTGGAACCCACTGCTTATACCTGCAGAGCCAGGATTTAATATCAAGGACCTTTCACTCCTATAACTTTGCTCCCAGCCAACTGAGCCTGGGTGCATTGAGTTAATACAAAGGAACAGGAAGATCGAACAGGGCAACAGGGCAAAACAAATGCACCAGCCCAGGCAGTGACTGCAACCACCCTCAGCTACTACTGTGCCAGCTGTGGGCAAACAGAGAACTGTGAGAAAAATGTAGCTCGAGGTTTCCCTGGGGATTGTGCGAGATCCAGCAGCAAAAGAAAGTCATGACCAAAAGGCAGCTGTAAGAGGAGACAGTGCTTCCACACACCAGTGGATGGCAGCAACCCACCCCCGCCCCAGGGGAGCGAGTGGATCGAGGGGTGGGGCAAGACGGAGTATGGCAGAAGGTGCCAAGGAGGTCAGGGTCTCCTGGGCTATGTATGGAAACAAAGGGCAGCTGGAAGCACAGAGCCAGAACTCAATCACATTGCAAAGGTACAGCCACAAAGATGGTGCAGGATTTAGTGCAGTTAAATTGTCAAGAATAATCATGAAAATGATGAAGAGGACAAATAGAGACCTAGAGACCCGAAGGTATCAGCAAGCAACCCCTATCATGTCTCCCAGTAGGAAAGGCATCTGCCCGATACCCACCTACCAGACACACACAACTTCTGCTAGTGAAGCATGTTGCCATGGACATTTGTCAAACCAACTTATTTCTGCCCCTTGTGAGGTTTGGGATCATTTCTGGGCAGTAAAATTTTGCCAGGGAAACAAACTAACCAACTGGTTGTTAAAAAAAATATCCTTTCCCCAACCCCCAGTTCACCAGTGTTACTGTCAGATGTGCTTGGCCATCTTCAATCCACTCTGGGCACCAGCTAGCTCTGGCTGGGAGCTCCAGGGTTCCATCACTCTCCAGACTGCCTGGTTTCTGCTCTCTAACACCCTTCACCAACAAACATTGCAGAACAGCCGATCTGTCTATATCGTAAATCTACATTAACAGTCCAGTTTTCAGTTTACAGGCAATAAACTTCCAACGTTAGCACGTAGCAAGGAAAAGGAAAGAAAAAGCTGCTTTTGTCTGCCCTCACTGTCCATCGCTACCTCACAGTTTGCGGTACACAGACAGAAGGAGGTCTGCTTAAGTCAAGGAGGCAGCCAGAGGGTTGTTCATCCCCCTGGAAACCAGGAGCCCCTTCCTGCTGACGTCTCTGCCTCCTTCCCTAGCGACTCTTTTGTATGACTTAGGGAGGGGGGTGGCGCTCTGGAGGAGGTGGCTCAGTGGGTGCGGGCTGAGCCAGCCACGCAGGGTGGGAGGATCCGCTGAGTGGTTGGAGGGCGCCAGCGTGGACCTCACCGTGCTGGAGGCGGCTCCAGTCTCGCATGCAGTTTTGAAAGTCAGCAGAACAGAAATCAAATTACTCTCAGCTGATGCTGAAGGGAGCTGGACCAGAGGAGCTTCATTACTATGCAAGAGAGGCAGCGAGGGAGAGAACAGCCCGGCATGCCTCCCGTGTGGACCTGGAGGTAATGTAAGTTCTCACACAGCTGTGTTTTATAGCTGTGTCCCTTTTTCCGGTTTGTGATCATGCTTGGCGGCCACAATGCCATCGTTTTCATGAAAATTTCTAGCGGGAAAGTTATCTGCAGCTCTTCAAAGATGTTTCTTCTTTCATTAACTAAGCAACCTAGTGCAAGCCGAAATTCCTGAAATTGCTCATTCAGCGCAAGACCGAGAACTGTAACCCGGAGTCCAGCCGGTTACTATGGGATTACCATCGGTTCCGTTTTTATTCGACTTTCTCCAAAGACTGCATCCACCCTGCTGTTCTCATCTGAGTGCTCTCTTAATACTGCTGTGACTCAATACAATATGATCAGAATGGCCAACAGAAGGAGAAACAGTTAAACCTGACTTCTAGTAGTCACCAAAGTATTATTTTTGCCCAGGGTCTCTCCAGCAGCTCACAATTCTGCAACCTTGCCAACTCTGAAACTTTATGGTAAAGTTCATTCTGCATCCCGCCCCCCCGACCGCCTTTTTTTTTTTTTTTTGTCCTTCCTTTGGATTAAAAAGATTAAGGCAAGGGTGGACTCTTCTGAAACCGGCCAGGCAGCTATAGGAAAAGCCACCTCAGTCCTTGATTACCGTAATAATGGGAGAGGGGAAGGCAGCCACCGGAGCGCAGCGCCCAGCAGCGTCAGTGTGACAGAGTGCGGGCACAAAGATGAATGGCGTGCACAGGCTGTAACTTGGGAGTCTTTGTACACTGCCTCTGCTGCATGCGGCGGCTCAGACATGGAGATTCTCTGTGAAGAGAACACTTCTTTGAGCTCCACAACCAACTCTTTAATCCAATTAAGTTATGACACCAGGTTCTACCAGAAAGACTTCACCTCCGGAGAAGCCAACATGTCTGAGGCGTTTAACTGGACGGTGGACTCTGAGAACCGCACCAACCTTTCCTGCGAAGGGTGCCTCTCGCCGCCCTGCTTCCCCTTCCTCCACCTGCAGGAGAAAAACTGGTCAGCCTTGTTGACGGCCGTAGTGATCATCCTCACCATTGCCGGGAACATCCTTGTCATCATGGCAGTGTCCCTAGAGAAAAAGCTGCAGAACGCCACCAACTACTTCTTGATGTCACTTGCCATCGCTGACATGCTGCTGGGTTTCCTAGTCATGCCCGTGTCCATGTTAACCATCCTGTACGGTGAGTGGCAGCAGCTTCCCAGCCCGACCCTGGGGCTGGTGAGGTGGAGTATGTGCATGTGTTAGCAGGAAACAGGGCTGGGAACTCATTCAACAGAAGGCTTTGTCTAGAGACCGGGTTGACCATGCTGTATTTTTTTTTTTTACACTCTTCAGTGGAGTTTCACAGAAAAATACGGGTAGTCTGAACACTATGGTGCTTTAACATATGCACATTTTACGTAGGGAAATTAGTACTGTTGGACATGTGAATTCTACGTAGAAATGGGAATAAGACAGTTTTGAATCCACTTCTGTTTGTGCCTTCATACCACCCACAGGGCCAGCCTTCAGGAGAGAGTAGTTTTATCTTTGTCACACAGTTTTCCGCACTTCTAATGGAGTGGTAAAACCCTTGAATTTATAGTGAGAACATTAGTGGTGGAGTAGGGCGACAGTTACAATATGCAGAGTCCCCCATTAGCATAAGTCAATTACTCCCCTTGGCGTCATTGTTCCCTGCCCAGAAAAGCTAATCTGAAAACGTGCCTTTGAATTACACCCTCAACTCTTTAAAAAATGCCTCAGTATAAACTCCTCCCTTCTAGATAGAGGACAGTAGAAAACGCAGATGCATCTCATTGTCTTCCCCTGCTTGAAACAAGCAAACCTCATACACAGTATACACTGTGATGACTTAAGCAGGACAGAGAATGCCAGATTTCCCAGAGAAGGAGAGGCGGGAGGGGAGAGTGCGACAGAGCATGAATGAATGAAGAGTTGAAAACAGCTGACACTGGCACATCACCAGTAATCCAGAGCTCAGGTTGTGAGCGCTATCTTAAAGATGGGATTTTCTTGCCAACTCTGAGAGTAACATTCTCAACACCCACCCTGCCCTGATGTGCAGGAAAGCTGGTACCAGTTTGCCCAGAGCTTTTGATGTGCTTTACAAGACCAGCCCCTGCTTAACTGTTCAAGTATCAGACCCGAATTTTTTCGCAAAACTTGCCCATCATTTCTTAGGCAGAAAGGTCCTCACCACCTAAAACCCTCCCCCCTTGGGAAACCAATTCCCTGGGGTGGCTGAATGTAACCAAAACTACCCCAGGAAGGCAGCGATGACCCTGGTGGCACGACCAGCTCGGGGTGCAAGGGCGCCCCCTTGTGGCAGTTGCTCAGCCTGCTCCTGCTACAGTCCGGCCCCTTCCTGGGACCCAGAGCCACTCCTACCAGGGAAATGTCCCCTTCCTTATCTGGGGCCGGAGGCCTGAGGCCCCAGTTTACATGTTGACATCAACACACAACAGCCACTGCTGACTTCCCCTCTGACCACTGCAAAAGGAAAGTTTTCCTTTTAACTCGACTGCTTTGCAAATATTGCAACTGAATGGGACCTCATCAAGCTTGTATCTTGCACCCTTTGTCTAAATAACCCTGCGCAAGTTTGTGGTACAGAAAATAGAATGACATATGGAGCGCTGGGCTTCATCTGTCTGCAGCACAATGGAAGAGTGTGCTTGATCATTTTCCTTCTCACATGCAGGCAGAGCTAACACCATTGCTTTTGCTATCATCATAGCTACTTAAAGTCCAAACAGCCTTTGATTCCCTTCCAAAACACCCGTCAAGCCAGGGTCACTTTGCTCACCATCCATGAAGCATAATCCACTTCAACAGCAAGTGAGCCATCATGCCCTAATAATGGAGTTGTCTGAGGAGCTTTAGTGTTTTAGTACTTGCAACACACCTTTGCCTGCCCGCCAGAAGTAATGTTTTCATTGTACTAGGTCAGGCTGCGGGCATAAGAACCTACCCAAGATTTGTCCAGGGACTCCAGCTGCAGCTGTGCATGAGAAGCACTGTTGTAACAGCCATTCAACATGTGGTCTGTGAGTCAGGTGATATCACCTGGGAACCTGCTATAAATGCCTATCCTTAGGCCCACCCCAGCCTAACCAGTTCAGAACACCTGAGCCAAGTACAATAGCCAGTTTCAACCCTCTGGGAGGAGGTTGCTCACTCATTTAACAACTGCCCCTCCAAAAAGCAGCTCAGTACAAGTCACTTGTGCTTTTGATTTTTCCACTCAAAATTCAAGTTTAATGCTACAGTATCATTAGATAATGCATCTCTTGTTCTTCAGAACAAAACATTCCCATTCTGGATTTTTAACCTTTTAGCTATTCATTTCCATCACTACATAGTAACTCCTAGTTGGCAAAGGGGTGATACATAACCTTGGACACCTACAATCTAGTGAAAATGGCAGTACAGTAGGAAAGTGTACCTAAATGGAAGATGCCAGAGCATACATATGTTTAGCTAAACTGTTAGCCAAACTGTTAAGATTTGGTTGAAATGCAGAGTTAGAAACCAAGAAAAAGAGGTAAGTCAAACTTGGCATATGCTGTTAAGCATCTGAGGACAGCATTATGGTGTAGTGAGTTAAGCCACTGTCTGTAGCGCCAGCATTGTAGTTTGGGTCCCAGCTCCCTGCATAAGTGGAAAAGAAATGTGTGAAGTAGTGAAGCATGGCCAAGTACTAGAACCCCTGTGCCCCTGTGGGAGATCCAGAAGTTGTTCCTGGTCTCAGCTTGGTCTAGCCTCAGCCTTTGTGCCCAACCTCGCTTCAGCTTGGCCCAGCTCAGGCCATTGTGGATACCTGGGAATTAAAACAGCAAATGCAGAATGTCTGGTTCTCCCTGTCACTTTCAAATGAGATCTCAAACATGTAAACTGGGGCAGGGGGAAGGCGAGCTCCCTGAGGAGGAGCTCAAAGTTTTCTACCATGCACTGACAGAATTGCAGATACTAGAAATTTCAAGCCAATACTCATTAGCAGTACACTCTTGCCCCCAGAGAAGAGCAGTTCATAGGAGACTGTTGAAACATTGAAAATTCCTTGCATCACCCTTCACTGCCACCCCTGCTCTTCCCGGACAGTAACTGCTGTCATGGGGTGTGGCTCACATGTACCAAGAAGCACCAGGCTGCTTCCTGACACTGACCTTCTGCATCACAGGGTACAGGTGGCCTCTGCCCAGCAAGCTGTGTGCTGTCTGGATTTACCTGGACGTGCTCTTCTCCACGGCCTCCATCATGCACCTCTGTGCCATCTCGCTTGACCGCTATGTGGCCATCCAGAATCCCATTCACCACAGCCGCTTCAACTCCAGAACAAAGGCCTTTCTGAAAATCATCGCCGTTTGGACCATCTCTGTAGGTGAGTGGAAGTGGATTCCACTGACCTTGACACGACTGTATGCACTTTCCAGAGACCTGCCCTGTTTTGTTGCACTGAAACCTGATGTGGTCAATGTGTTACTGACACAAGGTATGTCCCAGCCTAGTAGCAGTCACAGGCGTTTTAGGAAAGAGCCTACTTGGATCACTGCCTGCCAATATGAATTTGCATTGCTTTGCATAGAAAGAAATACCAGTAGGGTCAAAATCAGGGAGGGTAACACTGTTCTCCCCAGCCAACTTCCAAGGTCACAAATACGGGATTTCTCAAAGAACTCAATTTTCCATCATCAATGGACCTGTGATCAGTGCCAGGATACAGATTCCATTCTCAAGAAACTTACATGTTTTAAGATCTAGGAAAACATCAAGTGAACAGATGCTAGAACCTTCAAGACAGAATGGATGAAGTGTAACAAGTCACAAAGTGTTCTTAGGGTGAGTGCACTTAAGTGTGCCCAAGTCACTGTGGCCCTTCATGCTGGAACACCACACCCTAGATGATTCAACCGCCTAAACTAGGCTGATTAGGCACACTCCATCACCTCCCAGCACTGATCTCCTGTCACACATGCTATAGGTCAGGAAAACCCAGGGGATGGCTCCCAGAGGGACATGTCTCAAGCAGCTGAGTCAGTTGTGTGCACCACCCCCACGGGTGTAGTTTGTCAAAGACTTTGAAATTTACAAGTCTCAAACTTTCCAGGTAATAAGTGCTGCCATAACTGAAGGCCACTTGAGTGTCAAGACAGTTGCCCCTTGCAGTTTGAGATGGTTCCAGGACCACCCCTTCAGATACTAAACTATGTAGATAGTCAATTCTTTGCGAAATATTATAAAGGCAAACTGAATGAGTATTAAAAATGCCACTGGTATTTGCAAATAACCTGTATACATTGTCCCATGTACTTTATATCATCTCTGCTTATAACAACTCAATGTAAAAGTATGTTAAAACTTATGCTGCATCATTTAGACATTAAGACTTAGCAGATGCAAGTTTTTCCAAGTACTTCAAGTTCTCAACCTGCAGGTGTAGATCCCATGAGCATGAAGGGCTGACTATATCCATTAACATGAGAGGACTTATAGGGTAGGGAGCAAGCGGAAATCAAAGCCTTGTGTGAGTCTATCAGATTGGTAATAAGAATGCCAATCCTTAACACAAAATTTGGCTTCCATTGTTTCCATTACTGCTAAAGATGTGAACAGGCACTTGGAAGATTATCTCCATTCTATAGATGAGGAAACCTGGATTCACAGAGTGACGAACTTTATAGTGCCCACAGCACGGAAGTCATTGTAAGAATATTGTTTGATTATGATGGGAACAACAAGTTACACTTGTGTGATCAGGAATTTTACAAGTCTGTATTTGATTGTGAATGTCACTCATTGGAAGTACAGAATACGCTAGTATGCTTCTGATGCAGTAGGAATTCTGAGTACGCAAGGTCCGTGGCTCACAGGGTCCTATCTCCCGTGAGCAACCAGGTGAGGACTCGGAGTTTCAGGCACCAGTCCCTGTTCTACTGATTTAGCCAACTTCTCTAGGCAAGGAGGATTTTGTGCAAGAACATGTTTATGGTTTCTGAACTTGTACATTCTTGGTCTCATGATCCAAGCAGTGACAGAGTAAAGCGACAGCTTTTCACAGTCCCAGCTACATAGAAACCCTCTTGGAAAAGTGAGTCAGAGTAAGGTACAGCCTGAGTGGAGGACTAGGCTAGATTCGTAGAGGGGGGACATGGGAGCAGGAGAGGATCAAGGGTGGCAGGAATGAAGCAAACTGCTTCACATATTTACTCCAGTTCTAACCCCCTAGACTGCCATGATACTGATACAAGCTGCAACAAGCAGGTGCTGTTTCTGTACTCAGCAATTCCCCATCATGGTGCAGATCCTCTACAGCCAACACTCATTAGGCTGTATCCAAGCACCAGCCCCAGACCTGGCAGTGTAGAAAACATCAGTCTACAGAAAAATCAGCTGCAGAGAAGGTGTTTACATGAGATTACATCACTCATATCTAGGAGTCAATCCAGGTCATGAACCCCAGAGCCCACACCCTGTCTGCCATAGAAGGCAAGCTGCCACTGGCTGGTTCTGGCTATCACCCTGGGAGACTGTCAGGCTAGAGTGGTTGCATGGGTGCTAGCCAAAGTCACTGTTCAGTGAACAAAACTGATTGCCTATCTGCTATGTGCTTGGCACTGCATCTTGTAACAAAACAGGCATTCAGCAAGCTGAGTGTGAAGGCAGGTGAAGAAAGCTAAGAAAAATGGATATTTTACAACCCATGTGCCAGAGGCATGCAAGCTTCATGGCTGATAGGGTAGATGAGTTGTGAATGTAAGAAAAATTCAATTGAAGAACTGAAACAGGCTTGGTTCATGTATTTTGGGGAGGTTTTTTGTTAAGAAGTAGAATCACGGTAGTTAACACACCTTTCACCTTAACCAGTTCAACTTTGTTTTTCTGGGATCTAAGCATATTTTAAGTGTTGTGCTCCTTATACTGCCTGTTAGAAATGAATATAACTATGCTTGCATGTCCACTGTACAATTTCTTCTAGTCCCTTCCCTCACCACTGTTGGTCATTCAACATTTTAAGAGTTCATGTAAAATTGAGATCGTGCATATCTGACATTTCACTATAATGCCTTCAAGGTTCATTTGTCACAAATGAAAAGCTTTAATGCACTGACATTTCTGATCCAACGTGCTCTTGTCAAGCAGCTTTTCCAGCTTTTCCCAGCATCTGTAATATAATCATTTCTTCCCCTTTATTTTATCAACATTTGGTGATTTTCTCAGCATCAAGCCGTCCTTGAAGTCCTGGCATATAATCATACATCAGATTAGGATGAATTTTCTGTTAGTACTTACAGATTTTCACTTTCTAGCTTTATTTGGATAAACTTGATATTCATCCACAAAATCCTTCCCCTGTCCCCATCAAGGAACTGAAATAGAAATTTACATTTTTTTTTATTCAAGAATTTGTTTCCCTGTCATTTGCTTTCCAACTAAGATTTTCTTGGGGCAGGACCCAACCACATCGAACAACTTGATCCCAAAATCCTTCTGGGCAACAGGGGTCTAAGTACGTGGACCACCTTCCATTGCTTTCTTTACTACATTAAAAAGAACCTAGATCAGAGGCAGAGCAAATGGGACTCCCATTAGCCCTGTAATATAGGATTATTGGTATTGTAAGCATTGGCTTAACTACAAAGTCAGCCCTTCAATTTTTGCAAGACTAAAGAACAACCTACATCTCTCACTCTAATGCTTTCCCATTATGTAATTTATTTGAAAGGCAAAAAGAATAGTTAGAGACATACCTGTGAGGTATTGGAGACAGGTAACAGTTCACTCTCCAAATGCCTGAAATAACTGGGATCCTGGGCTAGACAGAAGCCAGCCCTCCCACTAGAGTGTCAGACTTTAAAATACGTGAGCCATCATCTGCTACCTCCCAGCACACATATCAGCATGAACAAGGAGTAGAGCTTGAACTCATACCCAGGCTCTGAGATCTGAAGCAGGCTTCCCTAGCAATACCTTACCCCCTGGGTCTAGGGCCACTCCTCTGTTCTTTGCTTTCTGGACTAATCAAGGACATCAAGTATTCTTAGGTCCTCTTTCATGCAAATGACTGACTTTTTGATACTGTCAGGTCTAAAAAGTCAAACACAGCATCTTAGAGCATACTGTTTATATCCAAATTGTGGTTAATTTTCTATCTGTTTTCTGAAAACATACAGTGTCATTTCAACTGGATTTAATCATGTGATATGGATATGATTAAATGTGGATTTCATCATATGTGTCTCATTTTCTGTTCATGAATTTCCCCACCTGTGATTTTGCTTCTCTTCATTATTCTCCCTTCCTTAGAACTTTAATATTATATGGTTTCTCAGTTTGCCGTGTTCTGGGTATCTTTATTTTGCCTGTAAGTGTATTTTCTGCTCAAGGTTCATGAACACTTTCATCCCTAATCTATAGGTGTTATTTCAGAGTTCTAATTTATGCCGTTTCTTTGCTTGTATCTTTGTCTTGTTCTGTGGCAATCACTACTTAAACATTTGCCATGCTACAATTTTTCACTTTAGCAGTTTTCCTTTGATGTCTAGAGTGGGTCAGTTTTAATTTTTAACAGGCTTGTATTGGTTAAGTTTTTGGCATATGTGTTGCCCCTTTGGGAAAATTCTGACCATTATTTCTTCAAATACGGCCTCGGTCCTATTCTGGCAAACCCTCATTTATGGAAGTTTAAGGTCCCATATTTTGTACCAGTGTGTTTTCTACCTACTTCTCCCTATCTTGCTTTAGAATGGATAGCTTAATTGATATGTTTATTGTGTACTTTTCATTAATCCTGTCAAAAGCTATTTCTAATTTTATTTGCGTCTGTCTGGTACAGTCTCAACTTCAGGTACAGTATTTGTTCATTTTTCCTGGGTTGTTCTGTGGACTCTAGTTTTTCTTCTTAATTACAAGTCACAGGTATCTGAACTACAGGGGGATTTCCTAGGTTTTCCTGAATTCTGTTTTCCTGATTTGTATTTTCATTTGAATATCAGGCACTGTGTAAGAACCCCTTAAGTGCTCTGTCAGTGTGATCTTTCTCCAGGGAAGATTCCCTTAGCAAGTGGAATCCAAATTCTTTTAAATGGGATTGTCAAGATCTATCCATGTTTACCTTTATAGGGTCAGATGTGTTCCTTCTTGATCAGATAAAAGCCTGATGTGTTAGCTTGAGTTGCTCTGGACTCTTAGCATCTGTTCAAGTCAACAGTTTATGTTTTTCACAGATACAATTCTAGTATGACCATATTTCAAGCCCCCTTACATCTTTAGCTTTTGCAGACATGATTTTACTTCGTAGTCAAAGATGTAAAGCACCCACTTGAGCTACGTTTTTTACATCCTTGGCACCATGTCACTTCTAGTTCTACATAGCTACTGAAC